GTCAGTTGCCCTAGGGTCGGGGGCAACTAGGAAAGTTCGAATAGTGAGATCCGTGGTCGTGGGAGCTGAGTCGTCCTATTATGGGAAGGACTAGCTTGAATGCGTTTCAGGCCGTGGTGTCGACGTACCAGTGAGGGAAAGCGTTGATGAAATTGCGGGGTATCAACTCACCTCAAGGAGATGTTACCAAACAACAGTGATCAACAATAAACAATTGGCGAGGAAACAAGCGAACCCGAGTGAAGAGATACCAAGTTGACCTAGTAGTTCGAGATCAAAGTAGGAGAAAACAAAACTCCACAAAGGAAATGAGAAGATGGACATGCAGCCTAGCAAAGAGATCGAGGAGATCATATGGTAGAAGGTTGTGAAGAGCGTAAGTTCAGGATCGGTAGAGAGCTGGAAGAGGCGATAAGATCGAGGTTGATCGAATTGGTGAGGGAGTTTTCGGACATCTTTGCCTATACCGCAGAGGAGCTGACCGGAATTGACGTGAAGGTGATCGAACATAGATTGAATATCAACCTCAGTGTGAGGCTGGTGAAGCAAAAGAGGAGGCACCATGGAGCGGAGATGGATAAAGTAATCGAGTAGGAGGTGGAAAAGTTGTTGAAGGCTGGTCATATAAAGGAAATTCAGTTTCTCGAGTGGTTATTCAACACAGTGATGGTGTCAAAGTCGGAGGGTAAATAGAGGATGTGTATCGATTTTCGAGAGTTTAATAGAGAGTGCTAAAAGGACTTATAACTATTGCCGAGGATCGACCAGCTGGTCGACTCCACTACAGGATGTGAGCTGCTTAGTATGATGGATGCGTCGCAGGGGTACCATCAAATTCCCTTGGCTCGAGAGATAGGAAGCGAGTGAGTTTTGTGACAAGCAGGAGGACCTACTGTTATGTGGTGATGTCATTTGGGCTGAAAAATGCTGGAGCAACATATCGGAGGTTGGTCCATAAGATTTTTAAGGAGCAGTTGTGGAGGAACACAGAAGTGTATGTCGATGATATGTTGGTAAAGAGTAAGGTGGAAGCTGATCATGTGATGGATTTGAAAGAAACATTTATTACGCTGAGAAGATTCGAGATGAAGCTTAATGCGGCTAAATGCTTATTTGGGGTGAAGTTGGGGTATTTTTTGGGTTACCTAGTGATGAAGTGAGGAATAGAGGTGAGTCTAGAGAAGGTTCGAGCTGTTGTAGAGATGAAACCACCGAAGAATGTGAAGGAGGTTCAAGTTCTTACTGGGCGGATCATGAGGTTGAGCAGATTTATTTCAAAGGTGGCAGAAAAGAGCGGTCCCTTATTCAAAACGCTGAAAAGGAGCTCGAGGTTTCAATGGAGAGAAGAGGCGCAGAAAGCGTTCGCGAAATTGCAAGGAGTGTTGACCAAACTTGATGTTGTTGGCTATACCGGTGCAGGGAGAAGTTTTGGTACTATACATATCTATTGGGGAGATTGCAGTGAGCTCGGTGCTGCTACGGGAAGAAGGAACAGCTCAATTTGTGATCTACTATGTTAATCGAGTGATGCATGGGACAGAGTTGAGGTATTTAGAGATCGAGAACTAGGCTCTAGCGGTTGTCGTAACAGTGAAGAAGTTGAGGCCTTATTTCTTAAAACATAAAGTGAAGGTGCGGACGAACAAGCCTCTGAGAGAGGCACTGGGTTGACATCATTCTCAGGTCGACTAGTGAAATGCGTAGTCGAGCTGAGAGAACGTGAAGGACGATCAAGGTACAAGTGTTAGCCGATTTCATACAAGAGGTACGAAGTCATAGAAGAAGTCGGAAGGAGTGTGGCAATTGATTGCAGATGGTCTGTGTCGAGTTGTGGAGTAGGACTGGGCATTGTTCTTATTTCACCCAAGGGAGATAGTTTGGAGTTTGCAACCAAGGTGGGGTTCCTGGTGTCAACAACGAGGCCAAATATAAGGCGGCTATAAAGGGATTACACTTGGCCATAGTAGGAGGTGCTCGAAAGATCCAAGTGCACTTAGACTCGCAGTTGGTAGTCAGACAATTTAAGAGGGTTTCGAGATAAAGGAGGAGAGAATGCAAAAATATGTAGATGAGATTAAAAGGTTGCATTGGGAATTCAACTCTTTCGAGCTGATGCAGATACCTCGAGGAGAAAATGGTCGAGGAGACTTATTGTCCAAAGTCGCGCAGAATCTGGTGGATTGCAAAAGTCGGAGGTAACTTTATTGGACATGGAGAAGAGTGCGGTCGATGCCGAAGTAGCAGAGATTGAAGAAGTGAAGGATTAGTCCTCGATACTGAAGGAGTTGAGAGAGGGAGTCGTGAAGGTGATAAGGAGGTTTTTCGAGCACGGAGGAGTCTTCTACAAAAGGTCATATACAGGGCCACATTTGCGATGTGTAACAAGAGAGGAAGGTCGATATGTGCTCAAGAAGGTGCATGATAGATATTGTAACGATCATTGTAAGGCAGGGGCCTTCGTGGCGAAGATATTGTGAGTAGGATATTTCTGGCCGATGACGAAATAGGATGCGGAGGGGATGGTGAAAAATATCTACAGTGCCAAAAGCATGGTACGCTCATTCATCAACCTGCGAAAGCGATGACGATGATGAGTGCCCCTATTCCATTTGCGCAGTTGGGTATCGACTTTGTTGGTCTGATTCCCTAGGGAACAGGGCAAAGAAAATTTTTGATTGTGGCAGTCGATTACTTTACAAAGTCGGTGGAGGTAGAGCCCTTGGCCAAGATTACAGAGAAGAAAGTGATACACTTTATGTATAATAATATTTGTTGCAGGTTCCAAGTCCCAAAGGTGTTGGTGTCCGAAAATGGGACGCAGTTCAATGGTAAGCAGATTCGAGCATGGTGCGAGGACATGAAGATTGAGCAACACTTTGCTTCGGTAGCTCATTCGCAAGCTAATGGACAAGTCGAGGTGACCAACAAGATCATACTAAATGGGCTGAAAACAAGACTGGAAAAGGGCTCGGGAGTGTGGTTCGATAAACTCACCTTAGTACTTTGGGCATATAGGACCATCCCGAGGTCCACTACAGGAGAAACCCCTTCCAGTTTTGTCTATGGAATGAAGGCATTATTGTCGGTCGAGGTGGAGTTGCAATCTCAGAGATCGAGCACTTATGATCATGAGCAGAATAAGGAACTGATGATGACGGCCCTTGACATAATTGAGGAGCTTCGAGAGCAGGCCTCGACCACGGTCGAAACATACCAACAGAGGATGCGAGCAGCGCATGATAGGAAAGTGAGGGTTCGAAGATTCCAGGTTGGCGACTTAGTGTGGAAAAGAGTCGACGTGCTGAAACATGTCGGCAAGCTAGAGCCGAACTGGGAGGGACCATACTTGGTCGAGAAAGTTCATGTCGGAGGAGCATATTCGTTGAAGGATGCTGAAGGACAATCACTAGCCAGGTTATGGAATGTTGCTAATTTGAAGAAGTATTATGTCTAAAATTATTCTTTTATTGAGATTGACAAAATAAGGGTGTAATCTACATATCCGTTCGTGATTAATGAGAATTTGTTTTCCGACTCTATGATTATTGAGTTATCAAATTATCTTGTTTGGAGTATTTTGGTGTCACCACAGTGGCATGTCACTTTGATATATGAAAAATCCACTATGATGAAGGCTATCGAGCTGGGTTGTCGATCCAAGTACGAGGTCAAGAGAAGAAAAAATCTACCATGATTAAGGCCATGAGGCTGGGTGGTTGCTTGTTTTGAACATCCTTCGGGATGGGCAAGTGGTCAAAGAAAAAATTAACCATGATTAAGTCCATGAGGCCGGGTGGTCGCTTATTTTGAACATACTTCGGGTTGGGCAAGTGGTCAAAGAAAAAACCACCATGATTAAGGCCATAAGATTGGGTGGTCACTTGTTTTCAACATCCTTCATGGTGGGCAAGTGGTCGAAAATTATGGCCATTAGTCTGGGTGGTCGCTTGTTTTGAACATCCTTCAGGGTGGGAAAGTAGTCGAAGAAAAACTCCACCATGATTAAGGCCATGTTGTTGGCTGGTCGCTTGTTTTGAACATCCTTCGGGGTGGGCAAGTGGTCAAAGAAAAAATCCACCATGATTAAGGCCATGAGGCTGGGCGGTCGCTTGTTTTGAACATCCTTCAGGGTGGGTAAGTGGTCGAAGAAAAAATCAACCATGATTAAGGTAAAGAGGCTGGGGGGTCGCTTGTTTTGAATATCCTTCGGGGAGGGCAAGTGGTTGAAGAAAAAAATCCACCATGATTAAGGTAATGAGGCTGGGTGGTTGCTTGTTTTGAACATCTTTTGGGGTGGGCAAGTGGTCGAAGAAAAAATCTACCATGATTAAGGCTATGAAGTTGGGTGGTCATTTGTTTTGAACATCCTTCGGGGTCGGCAAGTGGTCGAAAAACAAATCCACCATGATTAAGGCCATGAGGCTGGGTGGTCGTTTGTTTTGAACATTCTTCGCGGTGGGAAAATGGTCGAAAAAAATCCACCATGATTAGGGCCATGAGGCTGGGTGGTCGCTTGTTTTGAACATCCTTTAGGGTGGGCAAGTGTTTGAATCAATGAAATGGAATATGTATAATGTGAAAAAGTTGGAGTAAGTTTTACGGCATTTTCATAAATTGTTAGGGCCGTTCGAGATGTTCGAGCGTCTCTAGGAATTAAAATGCATCACGACCAAGGAGAAATAAAAACAAATTTAAGCGATTCCCCTGTGGAGAGTCGATTTAAAAAGGTAAGTTGGAGTATCTCTTGCATGGTTTTTGCAAAGTGGAACGACCTTAGTAGATGGTCGATCAAATGGAGTAACTTGATACGAACTCATGTGATTGTGGATAACTACATCGTTTATTCTTTGGTATATTGCTCGAGTTAAAGCTTCCATGGAGTTATAATCAATCAAAGGTGAATACTTTTCATGAGCCAACACATTTTGTTGAATAAAGAAATAAAGGAGACAACTATGACACACATTCATACAAGATCAATGTTTTCAAAGTACACATCTCTAAGGAGCATTCGAAGCACGCTCGACATCGGTAGATTGATTGGCAGGATTCTGAGGAGTCTGCTCAGCGTTGGGCTCTTGGAGTTGCTCTCGGAGTTTCTCGACTTGCTGGCTCGAGCCAGAGGTCGATTCACGTACTTCTGGTAATGGCTGTAGACGAGTGGACTCGGCCAAGGCAAAAGACATTGAGATAGGAAGCATGAAAGGATCAGGCAGATTGAAATTCTTCTTTAAGGTGTTAGAGCGGGCCAGAGTTTGCTCGAGTTTATTTGACCACCAAGGATGATTGATCGGCAGCTTGGGATCCCCTCAAAAATCTGTGGGTAACTTGGGCAAAGCATCCCATATCGTCTCCACGTCGAGGTCACCCTTAAAACCGTCCTCGGCGATCTGTTCACTCACTTTTTCCATGGCGAATTGGAAGTAGTCGGCACCTAAGTTCTGTACTTCTTTCAAAAATTATGGCGACTCCATGTAGTCGGCCACCACTTGTTCGCGGTACTCACTCAGGAACTGTTGGCCAATCTTAGTATACCACAACAGTTGGGGAGCTCGAACGGCCCAGACGTTCATTATTCGACGCTTGTTCTCTTGTTGGGTAGTTTTTTTCCGCCGTAAGAGCGACCTTTTCTGCCTCCAACGCACGCTCGAGAGCGTGGTCCGCCTTTGAGCTATCAGCTCCTCCTTCAAGTCAAAGCGCTGCTGGGTGAGCCGATTGGCGGTGTCCTGAAGTATGGACCCTCCTGTCTCGAGCGCGGGGATGGGTCGACTTGAGTTAGCCAAAGCTTGATCGACCAAGGAAACCAGCTCGATCAGGCCCTGTTTTCATTAGGAGGAAAAGGAGTTAGTACACGAGAGACAAGTTGGGTAGTGAAGCACAAAGGAAAATATAAAGTTTACCTGTGACAACCATTGGGCGATGCGCTCTCCTCAACCCTTGAGATCGGAGCCATTGTCTCGGAGATCGACGGCTCGGATCACGTCCTTGAAAAAGGACATTATTTACTTCCCTTTGGCCTGGGACAGGGAAGGTGGCGAGGGGACCGTACGAAGATTGTCCTTAAGACGAGCTTGCTTATTACTTTCTTCTTCTTGAAGAATAAGGCGCTTACCTGGGATGACTCGAGCGAGGTCTTCAGAGGAGAAGTCGGTTGCTCGACTACTGGTTTGGCCGTTGGTTCTAGATGAGGAGCGGGTTGTTGTTCAACCACTGGGTTGGTCGAAGAAGGTGCATCTTGTTTTTCGGTGGCAAGTTTAGGTGGTCTTTTTTCCTCGGTCAGTAGTGGAGCAGTCAATGGATCTTTGCTCGAGGCTGAGTGAGCCTCAAATCCCTTGGGAGTGAGAGAAGGGTTGCGTCGAGGCGTGGTCGAGTCGGATTGTTGAGGAGCCGATGGCTTGGACGACTTTTTCTTAAGAGGAACTTTCCTCTTAGGCATGATGATAGTAGACATCTCTGTGAAGAAAAAAAAGAAGAGAACTAGCACATAAATAAGAATTCATCGATAGAGAAAATCGGTCGATACTACCCCACGCATCTTGGACTCGAAGGTCTGCAAGAGTTTTCTCGGATGAAGGAGGGTACGACTTGTGGGTAAGTAGTCCACAGTAGTGCAGAAGGTTGTTATCCGCATGTAAGGTCTTAGATACGACGGGTTTGGAGTTCCAAAGGCTATGTGTTGGTCGAATTAGGTGAGGATTCTCAAGCTCGAATGAGAGCTCTGAGAGCTAAGGCATAGGAGCCTAAGGAAAGGAAGTATCAGGCTCGGCGTATACGAATTTATCTTTCCATCGAGGGCAATTCGGGGGAATGTCAAAAATGAAGTGAGCTCCATTCCGACTCTTTAAGTAGAGTCTCTGAGCCTGTTTTGAAGGCATGTAGCAGTAAGAGAAAAAGTGTAGGTCGAATCGACCTAGACGGACGTGAGCGAGGATAATTAAGGTGGTCAGGAAGCGGATCGAGTTGAGAGGAAGTTGGTACAGAGGAAGACCGAACCAGTCACATATCTCGAGCAGGTCACGGGAGAGAGGGAAGCGAATACCCAAGTCGAATTGGATCTGGAAAAAGGTGAAATAATCGGAAGGAGGATGATTATAGGTTTCATAATCGCCTGGGCAGATAAACGCCCAGCTGGAGGTTAGCCGACATCTTTGTCGTATAGCCATTTGATACTATGATAGTTAGATTGAGATTTTTTGGTCTTTGGGGGTTTTGGATGAAGTTAGCTTGGTTGAAGTTTTTGTTTTGGTTGCCTTGGAGGAGGTTGGTGAGGTCGAAGATTTATTTTTGGATTTTTTGGGAGTCTGGGTGTTGGTCGAAATCACAAGATTTAGGAGGGATGACCTCGTGGTCCTCCTCCTCGAGAGCCACGTCGGTAGCATTGTCCATGCCGGAAGTCCGGCAAGAGCGGCATTTGAGGGGCACATGGTTGAGAACTTCTTTGTTGTGCGAAAGGGTTGGCGAAGAGGAGACTCGGGCTGAGTCTGAGCAGGGAAGATTGGTCGAATCACATTGAGGGGGTAGCTTAAAAGATCTCCTCAACAGAATTAGAGGGAGAATGAGGCGGTAGTTGAGGAGTCGAAGACAAGGAAGGAGAAGTCACGTCTCTGCCGGAGTAACAGTCGTTTTCACTTGAAGTGGCGGAATCTGAAAAACAAAAAAGGGTAAATATCAAAAAAGAAAAATTGACAGGGTTTTGCAATGTAGAAGAAGAAAAACGGGGAAGGATTCCTCGCTGGCAGGATGGTTGAAAACTCTAAGTGGAGTCGGAAATCAAAACATTTAAAGAATTTTTATAAAGTACACAAATTGAAAAGATTAGAGAAACTTACTCATTGTCGGGAATCGGAGTAGTCATCGGAAAACCATGAAATTACAGAGAAGCCGATTGTGGAGAGCATGATGGAAATCGGGGAACACGGGGGATATAGGGCTAGTGTATCGAAAATTCGTGAAGGTGGAAAATTGTTCAAAGTTCAAGGTAGGAGTATTTATAGAAAAAGAAGGTGATAAGGTGAAGAGTTGAAAAATTAGCCATTGGATCAAAAGTGAAATCTAGCAGCTGATTGCATTTAACGGGTGCGAAACACGAGGAGACGTGAGTTTTGTAGTAATGATTGATGCGATTGACAAGTGTGATAGATAGCAGACGTAGAGGTTGAACTCCAAAGTGACAACGGAGAGAGAAGAGGTCTAGAATAGAGGAACACTTATTAAGTTGTCGACAAACAATGAACGTAAGGATAGTTGTTGGACAGACGAAAACCTAGTCTTGGATCGAGTCATTCAGACTCGACCAGAGTGGTGGGGACTAGATGATATGAGATAACATATCTAAAGGAGTAAACCAGACAAATAAGTCAGCTCGGCGAACCAACTGAACAGACCGGTCGAATCACACTGGTCAAGTAAATATAGAAAATGCGATCATGGTCGAACATCATGAGAGTAAGGGCCCGTGGATTGGAAGATAACATAAGGATTGATCTCAGCTGGGAGAACAGGTTGGTCCCAGAGTTATAGAGGGTCTAGTCGAAGATGGACTTGTGGTGCAACTGGTCGTCGGATCGTCCACTTCCCAGACTTGCGGCAATTAACGAATTGACCGGGACTTGGTCGAACAGCCTTCAAGGAGATCTCAGAGGAATCAAACCCCCATGTGCGGAGGACACGTGGTGCGACCCGATTGGTCTTTATTGAATAACCGTCTCTGACACACGCACACTGTGTGTTGTACTTCTGGGCAGGCCGAACAACTCTTGGGCAGCGAGCTCAGCTGATTCGGGCAGCGTCTAGAAGCAGATACCTCACCCCTATATATAGGGGTGAACTTTAAATTTTGAGCACGATTTATCCATTATTACTCTTGAGAATTGAGTAGAGCTTGAGACTGACGTAAGCATCGGAAGGTCTTCACGAAAAACCCCTCCGGTGTGAGTTTTTTGCAGGTACCCAGCGAGGCGGAGGTTCGAGCTAGCTGTTTCTAACCGATCGGAGGTTTTGATGTACCACACTAAAAAGTCCTTATGTTTATATTATTATTAATGGCACAATTGTAATAACCATTATGTATCTCTTTTTTTTTTTCTCAAAACGATAGATAATTTTATAAATCAAAATGCACAAATGTGCGAATACACAGCAGCCAACAGCTGAAAAAGTGGGAGGACAGGTCAGAAGCCCGCCTAGAATCCCGACTAGCAACGCCTAGAATAAAAAAACAGACTCACAACTAAACTAACCAACAACACAAACAACTAAAACAACTACAAGGACCCCAACAGGGTAATACCCTAGCGTCAGACCCCAACGGAGTAATAAGTTTGACACTCGGGCTCACAGGGGCCAACGACCCAAACCAAAAACACAAGTCCTATTACAACACAACACATAAAACACCCCAACAGGGTAAGACCGAGTGTCGGGCCCCAACAGGTGACACTCGGACGCACAGAGGCTAACGGCCCAAACCTAAAAAACGAAGCCTAGCAACACACCACAAAGAACACAAAAACTAACAAAACAACAAAGGAACTAAACTAAGAACGCCCTTCCCCAGCAATCAAACGAGTCGAAACCGCAGAGAAACAATCGAATCCACGATAGATCCCAAGTCCAAGCCCAACTTCCGAAACTGCTGCTGAATGCCTATACAGAAGCCAGACCCGGACCCCGAACCTACCCCGAATCAATCCACCTCAACCGGGAGGACAACCAGCCAGCTCCCCATGTCAGCCCCACACGAGCTCGCCTAACACCACTAGCCGGCTCGGTAGTGCCAAACCCACCTCCGCAGTCCCCAACACTAGAGAACCGGGAGGAAGAGAGTGACTCGGTTCCCCACTCCAACATCCACGACCCAAGAGGTCGAAGCTGCGAGAGCCTCGCCCCACCCCCAAAAGACACTCAATCCACCCCGCACCCCGAAGACCACCGGCATACCCATCAACAGCCCATCGGAAGGCTCACCCCAACATACCCAAATCGACCTGGCAGTCCAAGTACAGAGGCCCTCTCTGGAAGTCACGACCGAAGTCGAGACCGTCCGTCAAGCACCACCCAAGACCACCGATGCACCAAGTCCCACCCCAACAACCCCACCAGAAGGCGCAGCCGACCGTCGACGAACAAACCCTAAAAACAAATCGAGGGCTATCCACCGGCAATCGAAGACTCTCCGGCAGAGACGTCGCCAATCGCCAACAGATCGAAGAACCATCGGCAGATTGGGGCTCACCGTCATAAGACCCGACCACAACCCTGGCCCGACCATCAAAGACCGACATCCACGGCAGAACAACGACGGCGGAGGCGAAATAAGCATCAGAGGGTGGGCCGAGCGGTCAAGGTGACCACTAGCCCGAACTTGTTGTCACCAAGGAAGGCAGATCTGATCGAGTATTGAAGAGACTCGGTGGTTTGAGAAAAGAGGATTTTTCGCCAGAGGCCGAGTGAATATATGATTGTTATAACCATTATGTATCTCAATGAATTATAATTACAATTATCTCCATAAAATAGAATTCTAATTAAAACAAACTCTTTCAAAAATAAAAACTAAACAAAATAGATTTAAATAGGTATCATAATATTAACTTATCAATAAAGGGAAAATTAAAAAAAAAAAAAGAGAGAGATGAAAACTATTTCAATAAGATTGAATTACATTAAAATATACTCGTAAATAGTATGTAGAGGAATAAAAAAGTAGGGGGGGTACTATCCTCAGTTTCACAACATGTAGTATTATTATAAAATTGTCACAATTCTAAATGTATATTAATTTCATATTAATAATTACATATCTACATGTCATAATTAACAAAGTTGATATAGCATAATTATACAAAATTTACATGAAACAAATAACATGGCATATGAAACTACTCATTACATAACTATATGTCTTAATAAACAAAGTTGATATAACATAATTATACAAAATCTACATGAAATAAACAACATGGCATATAAAACTACCCAATTGCTTTTTTTATTTTTTTTCGAGAAAATAGAGTATCAAGTAGGATGGATGAGGAAAAAAAGTAATAAAGAAAAACACATGATACAACATAAAAAAAAACAATAAATATATTTTGCACATGAATTTAATAGCAATTATTAAATTATAAAAAACATATTACTATTATTATTTATTTTTATTATTCTTATTCATATTTTTATTTAATTGCTAGAATTAAAATATTTGAACACAGTAATGAATTGGTTGGACAAAATAAATATATTTACTAATAATCAAAATTTATTTTATTATTCTATAAATCTATAAGTTATGTACCCCATAGTTTAGTTAAAAGGTGTCTTTCATTAATGTAAAATTTAACAACTATTTTCAATGATATTTGTTTGTCCCATTTTTGTTGCGTTTTTCGTTGTCATTTTACCTTTCTTTTTCCCCATATCAGTTCTTTAGTTGGTTTTAGTTCGTTTTGTAGTTTATTGCGTGTTTTTATCGATTTGGAGTCATTTTAGTGTTTGTCGTTTGATTTTCCTTTTTCTCCGTTTTTCTTGTCGTTTTCAGTGTGCAGGTCAGAAGCCCCGTGAGGAAGAGATTTTACTCGAAAATTTACCGGAAAATCATGTTTGTGTAGACGGGTTCATTGGCGATACACAGGAGAAAGCGGAATCAAATTCCGATATCAGACGAGCTCGAACGGGCCCGAGACGTAAAGTCGAACAATCTGCCTACCAGTACCCAGCCTCGCGCCACGCCCTCCTCGCGCTGCGGAATGCGCCACGACCGCTTCAGAGACATCCGCTCGAATGCCACGCCAGCGGAGTGCCCCACGCCGCGACACCATCCCGCTCCACGCGCGCCTTCCCGCCATGCCGCGGTACTCGAGCCATGCACGCCGCGCTGCTCGTCCTTTACACCGTGTCACTAGGTTGACAATATAAAGCTGCACGGGACTTCACGAAAAGGCAAATCTCCCCTCCTAGGAGTAAAACCCTAGGCCGAGAGAAAATAAACGAACACTCCTTTCTCTTTTCCCTCTTCTTCTTCGTTCTTCACCTTTCTTTCATCTTTTTCTTCCATTTTCTTTTCTTCTCCTTCTTCTTTACATCTAAGAATTAAGCTTGTAATTTGGATTCTAGTCTTGAATTGGATTGATTGTAAGTATTTTTCATCTTGCTTAATTCATGAGAATGATTATTTGGGGTGGAATGCTTGATTGTGTTGAATTCATGTTACATAGCTATTCTCATTTCTATGGATAAGGGAAGATTGTTCATGTTTAACGTGTATTTGTCGGGCTTTGAATTTGTTCGTTCTTGTGTGAGTTAATTTGATTAGGATTTGATGAGTTCTTGTTCGATTGGTTGATATAATCGAAGACTGACACTTCGATCTTGCAATTGGAAGCAATTGAATGTTAATTTGTCGAGCTAGGTTTTGTTAATTCTATATGATAAGTTGATTAAACACCTTCTAATTGAATTAGCGAATTTTAGAACCGAAAGCGGAGAAGTCGTAGACCTAGCCTTGCATGAGGTAGATGATTTTGTAAATGAATAGTCTATAGGTTTTGGATTGAAATACGTGCTTGCCGGTAACCCGTCCCTTGCTACGAAGAGTTATTGGGATTGGATAATTGACCAGTGTTGTATGCTCGAACTTGGTCGTCTATGTTCAATCCCTTGTTACGGAAAGTTAATTAGGAGCGAAACGCTAGATGTTTAAGCGAGAGTGTCAATCTCGAACAGAACGATTAATTGCCCGATTTTGCAAATAGTACTTGAATTATATATCTTTCTTATGATGTTCACGGGAAGAAAGGAATATAATTCTCGAATATTAGGACCATGGCTTCCGAGAAAATACAAAGTTACCAAGCGGTATATAATGGCGGGAAAAGTATGAGACACGATTGAATTAAATATTTCGTGTCAGCAGATAAGACATGTAAGAGTATTGTGCCTGTTTTTGGGACAGTTGGTCTGACAAAATGTATAATTATATACATTTATGACCGTAGTGGAGGAGAAGACAAGGTCATCATTTAAGCAGCACTGTATCAGATGACTGGATTCAAAGATAATATTTTGAATTATTTATTTTTCGAAGTAGAAGTTCAGTTAAGTATTTCCGAGGACGGAAATAAATTAAGGGGGATGGATTGTAATACCCCAGCATCTCATTAATAAGTAAAGCATTTTTAGCTTCCTTGAGTAAGCAAATTCTTGTTAATGAAAGCTCAAATTCAGCTTCCTAGTGTAAGCTCAGTATTTATGACGAATATTATATTATTAACTTCCAAGAGTAAGTCAGACGTTTCAAGTAAAAATTCTCAACTTAGAAATAATCAGATTTAAATTGGGATTAATGTCTAACAAGTCTTGATTCATTTACCCATAAATGATAATTATCAAGAATCAAGAATAAAGAGGAATTAGTAAGGTAAGGACCGAATCCAAGTGTACTCAAATGGATATAGAAGATCGAACCTTGAACCTAAGTCGAGGCAAGATGAACTTAAGTCCAAATAAACCATGAAATAAAAAGTTAAGTAAAGTGGGTTAAAGTCTGGACTTGAGACATATCACATGGATCTACCATCGTGCTGCTTAGGTCACGAGTATCACCACCCGGGGCGATAAGAAGGCACGGACTGAGTGTACCTAAACTCCCTTACCCGGACCAAGCAATGCCATGAACACTTAGTGAAAATTTCATCATGTCCGTCACTAAGTTCAGCCTCATCTAGCCCAAATTATTGTGCAAAACCCAACTCTTATGGATTCATCCCGAAGAAGTTCCTCGCGGCATAAAAAAACCCGCGCAGCCTAAGTGCTGGGGACTTACCACGGCCCAACGATTACGAGCCCAGCGCCACACTCTCGATCCAATTTATGATGAAGCCAAGGTACAATACCTTAAGATAATGGGCAAGCCTCACCGAATGGCCCAACACATTTGGCAACCTTTTCACACGTACGGTCCATGGGCAGTCCACACCCGCGCTCGCAGCCCAACGCGCGGCCCGTCAGTACAGCCCAGTGCATGGCCTGTCGCACAGACCTTGCGCGGCCCAGCGCCAGCTTGGCACAACCGAGGCCCAAATCAAATTTCTGAGATTTTAATCAGCCAACTTGCATTTGACCACGAGGATATGATAAGTAAAGGTCGGACAAACCTCATCCTATCTTACATTGGCACTACAACCGAGACGAATAGATGGACGAAGAAGAAAAATGCAAACCTACCTTATTTTAAGTCAAGTGGCGAGGTCTTCTTCAATTCTATAAACTTTAATCTGAGGAACAAGTAGAGGAGGTCCAGACACTTAGAAAAATTCCCGCAAAACTCAGAAAATTCCGACCAAAGTCCGGTGAGCCCTTTCCGTGCCCTAGAATGCAAGAGTAAATCCATAGCAAGTAACTCGTTATTCCTTTCAAGTTCTTCTGAGTCATATTGAAACCAGAGGCTAAGGACAACGTAAGGAGCATCCTCAAATTAGTTGTCACAAAGAGAACTCACTTCAACAACTCGTTGGTCGAGCAACTACCGAGAATAGACCGAAAGTTCATTTCCTTGTGCACTTTCAAACTCCGGTGAAGGTTAACACCTATCCAACCTATTGTCCAGCCTAAGCATGATTATTTAAGGGGTATTAAGTATAAAAATCGAGGCATGCACGAGTGTTAAGTTGATTTTTGATTTTTAAGTTAATTACGACTTAAATACAGAAGTCGAGTTCCACGTGTGCCAAAGTTAAGTTAGGTACTCCATAAATCCATATTTACTATGTTAAATAAGTTGGTAAAATTTCAACTTATTTTGAAGATGTTTGTTCGGTCAAGTGGAAATAGGATTTTTGGACAATATATGCCTAACCGAACCAAGTGCAAGCTTATGCGAGTTTTTATCAAATTCTTAGTATCAATAATCATGAATTATTATGATAAGTGTTCGGCCTTAAGTACTTTCGTAATAAGAGTTAAGTGCCTTGATGACCTCGGAATCTATACAACGTGATTTCGACTTCCGAACCAATTTCAAATTTAGCCGAAGCCTTCCAACATTTTTATGTATTTTTAGACTCCTTATATTTAAAAATATAAGAAAAGTCTAGAGTCATCGGGTATATAGTCGGACGGTAGGCGAGGAGCAAACCGTGACCGCACCATACACGTAGCGGAGGGCCAGCACCAGGTAACTACCATGTTTAGAGGTTAACTTGCCGGGGAAGTGCCTCTGAATAGAGTTTGCACCGTGCCTGCTCGTGTTAGCACCCCGTGTGCATAGCGCGTTCGGTACATAACCTTGCCAGGGTCGTGCCCGCGTGCCGGGGAGTGCCTGTCGCACCCAACCAGTCACGCCCGGATACGCACCTGTGTGATGCTGACCGCGGCCATGCACATAGCATGTGCCCTGTAGCGCCCAACCGTGTTAGTGCCCATGTCCTCATGTCCAGCGACACCCGAATATGCACGGCGGTGCAAGAAAACACTCTCCCATGTCGGGCCTTGTGTCAGTAGCTAGGGCAGAACCCGATAGCACTGGCCGTGTCGCGTCTCATGCCAAGGTATATAGCGATACCCGGCAACACCTGGTGACGCGGAGAATAGGCCCAGTAGTGCGAGTTCAAGCGCCCGCGTGGTTAAGGTTCGTGACTCGGGTATGCGATGGTAAATATCCCTAACTTGGACGCCCACCCGAAGCACGCGAGTTATTACTGACCGAGCCGAGGCACTCGTGTCACCCGTGACCGACCAGTTCATGACGAGCCGCCAGTCCAAGACTAACGCTCCGGACCATTCAAGAGGTCGATTCAAGATATTCGGTTCGATATTTCAGTCCGAGTTGTACTTAAGTTCTTAAGTATTTTTATAAATCAAATCAGCTCAGTTAAATCAGTTATTTTATTCTGGACATAGAAATAATTAAACGGATTCGAATGACTCTTTAAATATCCAAAATAAATAATAATTATAACTGAGATTTAGACAGAATAGCATATATCAACATCTCACTATTTATTAGTCTTTTGAGCATAAGACTTAGCATGTGTGTTATTTAAATTCTATGTAGCTTAAAGAGTCGAGAAGGAGAAGAACAATTTTCTTAATACACAGCAGAAAAGGTGTGAACCCTGTACTGGGATTTGCGTAAGATATATTCTGAGTTATCACATCTGAGGTATGTACATAAGTAAATTCCCCCAACTAGTGGGTAACGGCCGAGGTCCGTATAAATGAAGGCCAATGTGTCCTTAACATATTTCCAGTGTGATTTCAGTATAATTATTATCCCGTTGGAATGTGCACATGATATCGGCCAATGTGTCATAGAGCACTAAGAATTCATATGTAGTTATGTTTGCTGTTTTCAGTTATAAGCATACGTTTATGTTTCAAGATTATAATTATTACTCCTGTTTATTTGGGTTTCTACTGAGTACCATGGTTATTCGAATGGTTTTCAATTAGCAAAAAATTTACTCTGATTACGATACTATTTTAAGCGGGGTGTTACAATTGGTATCAGAGCGCGGTTCGCGTCTCTGAATATTACAAGTTATAAAACCGAAATATTGTTACAAGCTATGACCACACCACGCTCATGCCACGCCGACTCCGAGGTAAGAGATGAAGTAGGTTATTTTTTTTTTTTTTTTTCTTTTTTTTTTTTTTTCTTATTTCGGAGAACTCTAGATTGTTCCATAAGATAAGAATTCTAGAAATAGGTGTGATGATAAGTAGTGTTAGTGCTTTGTTATCTTCATTACCAAATTTATAATGAAATGAGGAAATTGCTATTCAAATGGCAAATCGTAGTGCTCAAACACCAGTGATAGTCGATGCCGATCTGATCAATCCAAAATAATCACTCAATTTCGTGGGTTGTAACCCGATAAATTCAATGGACAGGGAATCCACGAGCAGTAGATGAATGGTTACGAAGTTTGGAAATGATCTTTGAAGCAATGGGTCACCCTGAGCAACATCGATTTCAGTGCGCACAATTCAAATGACTGGAGACGCTAGCCTTTGGTAGTTAGCTTATTGGGATATGCGGCCTGGTGAGAAAGCAAGCCTAACTTGGTCTCGTTTTAAGGAAATTCTTCGTGAGAAATATTATACGGATCACTACAGGGCTCAGATGGAAAGACAATTTTTGGCACTAGAACAAAACAACATGACAATAGATGAGTATGAAAGAGAGTTTACTCGTCTGGGTTCTTTGTATCATACATGATAGATACAGAAGACAAACGGTCAAGACGCTTTACTGATGGATTAAAGGACAGTTTCCGTCACCATCTCTCTGGATTGGGGAATTTGACATATGCAGAAACTGTTAATTGGGCTCAGCAAATTCATGCAAGTCTCCAGAGAAGCCAACCGTAATCGGGCCCCAACTATACCACAAACAACGTCATCCCCAAATTCTACTACATCCAATCAACATGCCAATGATAAGAAAAGGAAGTGGAAGAACCGAAATGACGATAAAAGCAATTGTAAGAAGAAGCCAGGAAACACAGGCCAACAAGCACCACCGGTGCCAGCTTGCAATAATTGTGGGAAAAAGCATAGGGGAGAATGCTTAGCAGGGCAAGATGTCTGCTATACCTGTATAAAGCCCGGTCATACAACTCGTATCTGTCCCGATCGAGTTCAAAACCAGCAGGCCCCAAATCAACAGCATAGAGCAAAGGCTCGGGTTTATGCAATCAACCCAACAGAAGGGAATGAGCAACCAAGTACCATACTTGGAACCAATTTATTTATCTATCTTCGTAGTAATTGCCGCTAAAAGCAAGTTATTTATAGAGAATAAATATTAGAGGCAAGAATAACATGAAGCATTCATAATATCAATTCTTGAGAATTAGTATTGGTATCAAAACTTTAAGTTATTGATATTATGAGGTTAATATTATCATTAAGATAAGTTTGGGTCGCATTAGCGATGATAATGCTAAAATGAAGTTGCTACCAATACAGATGATAAGAGTTGTAAATTTTTAAAAAAACTTCAAGGACTCGCTTTATTTATTTAGGACCTATTACAAATGAAAATCAGACAAGAACAGAAAACTCACAAAGTTACATCACAAGACCTAAGGTAAGGGTGCGTTTTGAGAGTCTAGTACTCCGTAACTCTGCCACCCATACAAATAAATTTTGGGTTACAATGAAAGATCTATTGAGTCACAAGCTCGTTTTCGCTTAATTCCTGAAGCTTCCAAAGAGTCTTCATAGATGAGGCTTTCTTGAAGCTTCTTGATCAGTTCAGCTGTAGTATCTGCAGATTTGAAGATATCTCTAGTTGAAGCAGATATGAAGTTTTGATATAAACTTTTATCTAAGAATCTTAGCAAGTCCTGGAAGAAATTATGGAAATTCAAAAGGCCTATAGGTTTGTTATGCAGTTTCATATCAGTCCAAGAAGCAACAGTAAACATAGTCATCATGGTTCCATAACCACCAGAAAGAACAATAAATGCATCACTATTGTTTACCATATGCATAATACAATCAGAAATGGTATGTGTTAGCATCAAACTCGAAGAATCCTTGACAACTTTGGTAGATGCTCGATAAAAAGGTATAACACTTTTCACTTCTATGTTGAGGCATCTTCCCGCCAGGAGAAGGCTACCATAGAATGTGATATTGGTGCCTCCATATAAAATATTGATCTTGTGTATTCCAAACACCCTTACTAGCTGGGATACAATTTCAATGCTTTGAGCAGAAGAGGCTATAAGTTTAGAACCACCAAGAACACAGATGGTTTTAAACGACTGAAAGGACTTAATTTCATGAGAAGACTCGGCAATTTCCATTTTGAGAGATATGTGAGTTTGGAGAAGAGATTGCTATTTAAAGAAAAAATTGCTCAAAACATGATATATATATTATATCGTTTCATTCTGTCACTAGCGACTGACAGTTATTTAATGAGAAATATTAATTAAATTCTTATCTATCAGAAAAGATAAGAATTTCAGTATATTACTGTTTAAGACATTATTGATCTAAACAAATGTTGCAAACAGGATCTTTAGCAACGATATTTTAAGCCAATAGCGATTGGATTCGTTTTTAAACCGCTCCCACAGTGAGATCCTCTCCCAATGTACGCAACCACTGGGATGTGCATCAAGAATCAGTTGAATCGTTTGATCTAATGATTCTTTACGGAAGCCATCCTTTATGAATGCTATTTTATCCTCTCAATTTCTGGATACAAACCCCACAGATTTGCATCGTGTGTCACAAGTCCATCGAGCACATTTGAAGCAACTACCTAGTCTCTTTGCTCTCCTTTCCTTTGCAAAACTACTTTTGCCCATGCCTGGCATATATTTGTAAGAATTCGAAACTCACCAGACAACCGAACCTTAGCTTCAATTAAACATCGGATATCAGTTGGAAGATCATGGATCATTATCACCCTCAATCATTCTAAACGAGAATTATATATCTTTCTTATGATGTTCAACGGGAGAAAGGAATATAATTCTCGAATATTAGCGAGTGCTAAGTCCATTGGTAAATTTGAATCATGGACTCCGAGAAAATACAAAGTTACCAAACGGTATATAATGGGGGGAAGAGTATGAGACACGATCAAATTAAATATTTCGTGTCAGCAGATAAGACATGTAAGAGTACTGTGCCTGTTTTGGGGACAGTTGGTCTGACAAAATGTATAATTATATACATTTATGACCGTAGTGGAGGAGAAGATAAGGCCATCATTTAAGCAGCAGTGTATCAGATACTAGATTCAAAGATAATATTTCGAATTATTTATTTTTCGTAGTAGAAGTTCAATTAAGTATTTCTGAGGACGGAAATAAATTAAGGGGGATAGATTGTAATAACCCAGCATCTCATTAATATGTAAAGCATTTTTAGCTTCCGAGAGTAAGCAAATTCTTGTTAATGAAAGCTCAACCTAGCGTAAGCTCAGTATTTATGACGAATATTAGATTATTAACTTCCAAGAGTAAGTCAGACGTTTCAAGTAAATATTCTTAACTTAGAAATATTCAAATTTAAATTGGGATTAATGCCTAAAAAGTCTTGATTCATTTATCCACAAATGATGATTATCAAGAATCAAGAAATAAAGAGAAATTGGTAAGGTAAGGACCGAATCCAAGTGTACTCGAATGGTTATAGAAGATCGAACCTTGAACCTAAGTCGAGGCAAGATGAACTCAAGTCCAAGTAAACCATGAAATAAAAAGATAAGTTAAGTGGGTTAAAGCCTGGACCTGAGACATATCACATGGATCTACAATCGTGCCGCTTAGGTCATGAGTATCGCCACCCGGGGCGATAAGAAGGCATGGACCGAGTGTACCTAAACTCCCTTACCCGGACCGAGCAATGCCGTGAAGACTTGTTGAAAATTTCATCATGTCTGCCACTAAGTTCAGCCTCATCTAGCCCAAATTATTGTGCAAAACCCAACTCTTATGGATTAAGCCCGAAGAAGTTCCTCGCGGCATAAAAAAACCCGCGCAGCCCAAGTGCTAGGGACTTACCACGGCCCAGCGACTACGAGCCCAGCGCCACTCTCAATCCAATTTATGATGAAGCCAAGGTACAATACCTTAAGATAATAGGAAAGCCTCACCCAATGGCCCAACACATTTGGAAACCTATTCACACGTAGGTCCATGGGCAGTCCACACCCGCGCTTGTAGCCCAACGCGCGACCCATCAATACAGCCCAGTGCACGGCCTGTCGCACAGAC